ATCCCCGTCCCCTCACCTCCTCCCACGGGGTGGGTCATGGAGGGGGGAACTGCTCTCTGCCCTGCTGCAGCCCCTGTCCCCATCCCCAGCGGAGCCCAGTGCAGCCCAGTGCAGCTCTGGTGCTTTCCCATGGGGAAATCCTGGGTCCACCCCTGCTCCGCGGTTTAGGGCTGGGTCTTTCCAAGAACAGCAGAAAAGAGCGGCAGCAAGAACGGACATCTCAGCATTGGTATAAACTGTCGTGCCCACAGAAGATTTGGGGTCCCTTGACTCCCCAAAACCTTCCCAATGCAGGCTGCTAATATGATCCTGTCCCCCAGGCTTCTTCTTCCCTCTCCTGGTCTGAGGACTACTACCGCTGTACATCTGTTCCCGAGGGCCTGGAAATAGCCCCGTTCTGTAAGCACAATAACGAGTCTATTATAGTCCCTGCAGCCCTTGGAGGTGCTCCTCTTTCCGGTACTTGGGCAGGAGGCAGACGCGGTCAGGGCAGGGACAACGGAGAGAGACAATGAAGCACCAAAACCACGACATGCCCCCCCGTTTCTCTGGTATCCCCATGCCTTCGCCGCGGTGCCCTAACACTGTGCTGTTGTGTGCTGCCGGAGGCCGGAAAGGCAAATTGCTGGTGGTGACAGCACCCACCCAGATACATCAGCTTCTCAGCATGCAGGACCAAGCTGCCTCAGTTTCCCCCCACCCCGGGCTGCAAACCTACCTTATTCATATCAAACGTGCGGAACATCTGCTCGATGTACTCGTTGGCCTCCGGATCCAGCCCCCGCAGCCCAAAGAACTGCTTGAATTCGTGCTCGGTCAGCTGCCCGGACGGACACTCGGTCATGAACTTCTTGTACCAGTGGTGGATCTCGACCGCTTGCAGGTCATCCACGGTGGAGGTGCTGTTGTTCCCCATCGGCGCGACGGGATGCGGGGAGGCCTCGGACCCCTGCTGCGAGCGCTGCAGCGGCTGTCTGATGCCGTCCCCCTTCACTCCCCGCGTCGCGCTCGCTTAAGTGATGGATATACCTTCCCAGCAGCCAGTTGCAATCTTTAATCCGCTTTGATGCTGACTTAGAAACTTGAAGGTCTCGATGATATAAATAGTCTCCTCAGGAGGGAAGAAAGATGGGATGATCTAGCAAAGCGCTGCTATTTCAGGAGTCAAATCAGAAGAGTTAAGCAGATGCTGGCACCAGGATTCTTGCCAGCACCCGGTGAGCTTTCTCAACCCTTCTTCTGCAGCCTCCGAAATAGCAAGACCTGAAGGCTGAGGTGACCTGCTTCCCTCGGCGGCTGAAGGGAGCCTGACTCCTTATTAGAAATCTTGAGTAACTGTCTACAAAATGCTGCCCGGTTTTGCAGCACTGCACTCCCACAATATGACAGGACAGCATCGGCACGAGAGGCCGGAATGAGATTTTCCTCGTTCCAGCCCTTCTTCCCGTCCTCACAGGCAGGTCCCTGTGCAGTCCCCTGGCAGGCGATGCAGTATTTCTATGGTGTCCTTCATGACTGTGGGCACTGGGACAAACGAGCAGCGTCCCTCCAGGTTTGCAGTGGGCTCTGACACCGAGCCCCGTGGTGACGATCCTGCTGGCCTGCTTACATGTGCTTTTACGCTCTCCATGGCCAGGGTTTAAAATCCAACAGCATGAAACAGGGATCATCTGAAGCTGGCTTGATACTGCTGGATGTCCAGCCCTCGGGTCCCGGTGACGGTGTCGGAGGCCCCAAGGCAGTGGAGCATGCAGTGGCGATGCGGTTAGGTCAAGCGAGGAGGCAGGGTTGTGTGTCCGTTTGCAGGGGCACCTGGGCCAGGGGATAATCAATCCCCCCAACTTTGATAATATCTCATCTGGGATTATCATCAAGACCCACCCGCCAGTTCCTGCATTGAGGGGCACCAAAAGACACAAGGCTGCTGTCCTAGCACTTGCTGTTCCTGGCTCTACCCCTGCTAGCAGCACAAGCACCGATGCTAAGCGGGGAGGGTACGGTACAAACACAGACTCAGCTTCTCGTGAGCGTACTGGAGCAACGCAGGAAAGACTGTAGAGAGACAAAGTGCTGCATTTGTCTCGTGCTGGGCATTTGGGTCACGAGCCAACAGAACAGGAAAGTCTTATTGATGAAAACCAATTTGATACCAGCTGGCCCAACTGCATGACTTGAATGTTAAAAACAGCAGTAATAACCTGGTTAGGAAGGACAGAGTGGGCAAAGATGGATGAGGGGTAGCATTGTTAAAGGCAGAGCTCTTGGGCGCTCAGAACGGGTCCTGAATGACATGGATCCGTGAGCCAACTAACAAAACCCAGAGGAGGGACAGACGAGGGTTATTCAGGCCTCCAGATCAGACCAGGGAACAGGAAAAATAACTCTGTCTGTAACGAGTGGAAAGAAAACATACGTCGTGGGAGACTTTGCTCCGGAGTCTCAGACCGCTCGCAGGAAAACATTCCTGGAGCGTCGAAAAGGTAGAGATGAACATGTTTTAACAGAACGGGCATAGTACCCAGGAGATAACTATCTGGGATCCTTTACGAATGATAAAGGTGAATGAATCCCTTGCCTAGATGCTGGTGACTGCCTGGTGCCCAGTGATGACGACCTGGTTACAAGTGCTGACCCGGGGGAAGTTTAGGTGTTCACGGGTTGCTCCTGTTCTTCAGCGAGTGGGTCGTCCAGTGGAATGAATGCCAAAGAGAAGTTCATTAACATTTTAGCAAACACGAACATTGCTAGCAAATTAACAACGACACGCTCCACCTAGATGTTCTTACAGCAATCCAGGAGACACGAGCAGCACTACAGCTTAAAAACCCTTTGACTTGCTAACAGGTGGCCAGCGCTGGAGAGGTCTTGCCCAAATTCAGAGGCTAAGTCCTAAGAGGGGTTGGCTCTTCATGACGTCTGCACATGGGAAGCCGGACGAGCCCGTCTCAGAGCATGGAGCCTCTTGTTAGCCCTCTCCTCAGACAGAGGCTTACAACATCGCTCGATGCAGACGAGACAAATATGAGCAGAAAGGCGACATTCTTGTGTTACATTATGGTCCGGCTGGAAGGTACCAACCTTCACCCATCCCGATCCGGCTGAGCTCGACTTTCCAAGGAAAGTCTGCCCGGGACTCGGTTTCTTTTGTATTGTCAGCCTCATTTAGGCTAGCCCGGCCTAACTCAAACTCAACCCTAAGGCAAACTAAAATGACTATAATGCCAGCTAAAAGTATTCAAACTTCACACAAAGGTCTACCCCAGTGATATGGGCAAACAGAACAACCCCCGCCTTCAATCTATAGAGGTGTCTCTTCCAAAAGCTAAAGAAAAACAAATTCCTCCCAATCAAAACTGGGATTCCACCATTAGGAAAAGGATGATTTTGCTAAAAGACCATCCAGATGCAGTCATGTCTTCAGGAGGAGGAGGAGAGTATACTTACAGCATAGACGGAAGGGTGCGGCGGTATCTTCCAGTCCAGCAGTAATTAAGGAAATGCTAAACATTTTAAGTCATCAAACCCAGATTGCTTGCACCCAAGAGTCCGAAAAGAACTGTGGTAGACTTTTCGCTACTATTTTTAGTATGTCTTAAAATATACCAGAAAGTTAGAAGATTTTGTATATTGCACCTGTATTCAAAAAGAGCAATTGGATGGCTTGGGTAACATCAAGTCAATTAACCTGAACCTGAGCCAAATAATAATAATAATTATTATTATTATCATTATTACTATTATTATTATTATTATTATACTATATAATTATAATTTGCATAATATATAATTATATATACAATTATAATATAATTATTATAAAAATATAATATTAATATTATAATTATCATCATTATTATTATCATTATTATTATACATTATACATTATATATTGCATTATATTATTATATATTATATATTAATTATATCTATTATATATTATTTTATTGTTAGGC